TCCAGTGATAATACATCCACAACTTCTCTGGGTAACCTGTTCCAGTGCCTCATGACCCTCATTGTAAAAGCTGTCTTCCTTATATCCAATTTAATTCTACACTGTCTCAGTATGAAACCATTGACCTTTGTCCTGGCACTACAGGCCTCAGTAAAAGCCTTTCTTTCATATAAGCCCCCTTTAGGTACTGGAAGGCTGCAATAAGGTTCTCCCACCACCTTCCCTTCTCCAGACTGAACAACCCCAACTCTCTCAGCCTTTCTTTGTAGGAGAGGTGGTATTGTACGTATGTGAATGTATGAAATACTTGTGTGTGATGCAAATCATACTTTGTAAAACAAGTTACTGTTAAAGCATAAAACAGAGATAATACTTACATTTCACAGTGTGCAGTAAAAAGACAATTCCATCTTTTTGAGCATCAGGTTAATTAATGAAGAGAAACGCTGGCCATGAGTCACAAATAACCCTTGTGAGTGCTTCCTTGCTAGACTGACCTAAGAAAAAACACCTGAGTATAGAATGATGTGTAAGTCAGGGAAGCATTTATGACTTCTGAAAGGGAAAGAAGGCAGTTATTGGAACAAAATAGGACTGGGATACAAATGGGCTTTGAGGAGAATTCCTGCAAAGAAAGAAGATTGGAATTCCAAAAAGGAAGGCAGCTTAGTATTCAGACTGACTTAAAAAAAATTATTACGAACTGTATAAAATTTGAAATGGACAAAGGGAAGGATAGTGAGTGCAGTAAGTTGAAAAAGGTTTTGTCTTAATTTTTTTTTTTACTTGGTGAAAGTGTGACATGCCATTATTTTCTCTGAGTTGTGTCATTTAATTCTTTCTCTGGTTCCAGAGCTCTATCAACCAGCAACCTACCAGGTATCAGAAGACGGCTCGTTTGAAATTGTGGATGAGAAGACTGCAGATAAGGTAAAAAGTTTATAAAGAACATAATCAATATAGTAGAGTTTTAGGCACTACTGAGCCCTCAAACTGAGCATATTGATTGATATTTAGAAATTCTTTATTACTAGGAAGAGAATGCCCAGATATTTCACTTGTATTTTACTATTTGCAAAGGATACCCAACTTACAGAAAAGCTTTTTGCTGAACACTTGAAACCACTGATGTCATAAACCGTCTTCCGTGCACCAGACTTACAGTTCCAGTTTTAAATGCATCAACAATAAATGAACTGATTGCATTCAGACTGAAGTAGACCCCTCTACATTCACTTTCTTTTGACCTCTGCTCAGTTCTGCATTTTGCTCTGCAGTGGTATCACCCAGTGCAATAAAACATATCTGTCTCAATGAATAAATTGTGTTTTCTTAGTTGTAGCACTGTTTATTTGATTAAAATGTTTAGATCTTGAGGCACTTCACAAAACCTCAGTAGAATCTAATCTCTTAACTTTTACCTCTGCAATGTGTGAGTAATGTTACAACAGAACTTGAGCTGGGGCTTGTTCTCCATTTCCAGAGTGGCGCTCATGGAATGTCATTCCTGTAATACATTAAGTTGGAGTGCTGAGGCTTATGATTCTCTAGGGCATAGAAGAAATTAATGCAGGCAAGAGGGATTTTCCAGCAAGAAGAGGTGTTTTAGCTGCTGGGAATAAAAATTAGACCAGAGAGCTTAAGAAGAAAAAAGGAATTTATAAAAAGACTGGTGCAGATAAAGTATTTAAGTACTGAATGTAGGAGGAACAAGTGACTTAAAAGGGGCTGGAGGTGTTTTGAAAGTATGCTACGAGACTACAGTCTCATGGATGACATTTATCGCCTTTTCCCTGTTTAGAAATTCATCACGGGAAGGAGACACATTTTTGCATCCTTGATCTGTTCCCAATTGCATATGGGAAACTGTTTAGCAATGCATGTTTTGCTAGATAAAGTACACGTTTTTAACCTAGTAAGTTTGACTATCAGTTGATTTTCTAGAAACTTGCTGGAATTTTTTTGCCAGGATCAGTACTGTATACACATTCTCTTGCCTTCAGGTGCCCTGGATCCCTCTGGATCCCTTGAACCCCAATCTGGAACTGTATCCAGAGTATGCTCAGGCACAGCCTTTGCAGTGTACAGTGAAAGCTGGTGAGATGTTATATCTGCCTTCTCTCTGGTTCCATCATGTTCAGCAATCACATGGCTGTATAGCAGGTAAAAGACACGGTATTTCCAGATACATTTGTGAACTGTGGTGGGTGTGCGTTAGATATCCCACAGGAAAGCATCAGTGGGACCAAAGGTCCCTTTCAAGTTATCTGCCTCTCTGCAGGTTGAAATAACAATCTTGGCAGATCCCATGGGGCTGCCTCCTAGCAGCCTGTTTTGTGTATAATTGGTAACTTGGTTGACAAGTGGTTGGGATGTAGCAGAAGACAAAGTTTTTCTAGTTGTCAGGTCTGGAGAAGGATAGCTAATGCAGTGATCACGATCCAGTTTCTGTTTAAGACACGGAGTAAGCAGTTTGTCTGTCTAGCCTGCTAACTGCAACTGGTCATCTACGTATGTTTTGCAAAGAAACTGCATGTTGCATGTGCCTTTATCACGTGGAAAAAAACCCTCAAACCCTGGAGAAAGAAAAGGAAACCAGAAAGTGAATGACTTTTAGGCATGGATGTAGACACAATAGGAAAGATATTATGTTCTCATGTGAGCTGAAATGCTGTGACCCAGTCTCTTTCCTTGCTAATAAGCCTGTGTTTCTTATTATTCCCCTGCATGCACCAAAAGTCTTGTTGTCTCTTTATTTGTAGGATTTATCATCACCTCTCTATCTCTTTTTTTTTTCTTCCCCAAGAGAGTTCCAGAATTTCAAACATTGCTCATTTGGTGCAGGTGAAGTGGTGGGGATAGTGCAAAGTATTACTGTCATGTCACGAAAGTTTTGTGAGGTTTGAGGAAGAGATTTTTGCTGTGCTTTACCTGGAATAATGCTGTCTGTCAAGAAAAAAATATTTTGAACAACACATCATTAGTATTAGTGTAACACTGCAAATATTGCAAGCCCTCTTTGTCAGTACTTGTGATTCTGTGATAAAAAGACAAGCCACCAGTAAAGCAGTATTTCTGATTCTCTTTCCCCAGCACTGTTGCATCAGTCCTCTAAAAAAATCAGACGATGTTTTAGAAGAAGTAGTGTTGTTTCCAGCTGCAAGCCCCTGGCCACTCTTTTTTTCTCCATTTAGAAGAAATGCAAAAGAGTTTGAGTTTATTTGGGCTTTAGTCTGTTAACTGCAGTACAGTCTGTACACACTTGAAAAATCAATATTCTCAGGGTCTGGTCTGCTAAATGTCTGAAGCTAGAGTATATCCTCCTCCAAGAGGCATTGATACAATATTACAGTGCTTGGCTTCATTTTTCTAGGAGATATACACCAAAATTAACACAAGAAGCAGAACTAAAGCACTGTCTAATTGATGTCCATTGTGAAGTAGTGGTGAATTTGCCATCCTTTATACAGGAAGAAGGGTTCCTATGCAGATATTAAACTTTGTGGTTTGATATTTTTTGTCTGAACAGAACCATGTTTTCTGTTTCTAAACATTTTGCCAGCTTCTACTTCAAGGAATCTCCAATATAGAGTATGAAGAGGAGTGGGTTTGGGTTAAGAAAGAGTTGCACTGGCAGCACTATTAAAGAACACCATTGTTTGCTTATGTTATTTTTGGCTGTAGTCAAAGATTTGCTCATTCCAAAGTTCAGTCAGAAATGAGGAAAAGCCTGTACTAACTGAACTGTACAAAAGTCTATGAACATTTGTAAATCATTACATTCTAACCTTAGAAATGTTTTTCCCTTTTCTTGTCTCCTCAGTGAATTACTGGTATGACATGGAGTATGACCTTAAGTACAGCTATTATCAACTACTAGATGGTCTCACAAAAGCTGTGAAAACGCTATAGCAGAGATGGGAGACTCAAGCTTGTGATCTCTCTTTCTGATGCGATACAATCGTCAGCATCTTGTGACTGGAGTATGAACATGACTCACACAAAAAGAACTGAACATTAAATTATCATCAATGCCTACGAAACAGATCATGACTACTTTGCTTGATTTCAGAGTCCAGATCAACTGGCCAGATTTTTTGGCTTGTAAGGAGGAGGTTTGATAACAGCATTTTTAGGCCTTTGCGTGTTGCCTCAGTGATGGTGAGCAAAACAGAATTTGAAGGGGGGCAATTCAGGTTTTGAAAAATCCCAAAACAGAAGCCCTGACTGTTCAGATCTACACTATTTTCATAACAACCCAAGTGGGCAAGGAAGGATCTGCTCTGCCACTCACCTGTGCTTCAGGCTGCATCTGTGCAACACATGCATTCTGTTTAAGGAAAAGTCCTGCACAATTGTAATTCACCAAGTTCAGCGGCTCTGGTGTTTTAACGGTGAGAAACTACAACTTCTGGAATAAATAGGTCAGTTTAAAAGTTTCTTTCTGTACTATTTTTTTGTCCCAAGTGATATGATGGCTGAAGGACATCTAGGAGGTCATGCAAAACTCAATGGCTATTTTCCATGTTAAGATACACATTTTTATTGATGTTTTTTACTTCTTCCCACTGTTGTATTTAAATGTAGCTGCATTCTCTTTAATCCCGAGGGGTCATTCTAGAGTTGCCTTGCCGGATCTACAGTTCATCTCCATATTATCTGTGGTCTTGTGGCATGATGTGTGATTCTGCAGGCTCATTCTGTGCCAATAATTGCTGCCTAACACATAGTCAGGCGAGATGTGTGAACGAGGAGCCTATTTCTGCAGCCTCAATTCCCTTTTGTATTCCACAGAAGGGGTTTAGACTACTCACATCGAAACCCACAGGGTAGGACTAGAAGGCTATTAAATACGCAAACATTGCAAAAGTATGATATAAATAATAGTAATAACCCCCAAAAATAGTGTTTGTAGTCAAATCTTCAAACAGCTCCTTAGAAAAATTGGCAATATGGGGGTAATTTATTTTCCATGTATTAATTAAGAAAATACAGATACCCTTTAGATAAGATTGATTGTAGAGAGAAATGCAGGGTTTTTTTTACTTAGTTTGTTTCTTTTGCTTTTTAAAGAAACATAGCATAAAATTTCATTTTATCTTGGGATGCTTGTCCAAAAATTGCTGAAAGCTCAAGAGGAACTAAAAGCAGGCTTTGTTTCACAGCTAAATTAAGATATCACGTTACTTCAGACTTTTCTTCTTGTTTGTGTTTACTGTGCCTCGGCAAAGGTGCCCAAGCCAGTTCTGCAGTCAAATCTGGAATTTCCTGCAGTCGGGGCGGAAAGGCAATTCGAATATCTTTTTGCTACCTTGAAGATTTTAATTTAGTCTCTTTCTCTAATCAAAAGTAAAACCACACGCTAAGAAGTGAGAGCTTGTGTCTGTGCAAGTGGACGGTGTCACTGTGCCACCTCTCTGCCGGAGTGTCTGGAGAGAGGCGTGCCCTGAACTACGTCTCCCAGCAGCCCGCGCTGGCCGACTGGAGGAAGTGGTCACGGTGGTTCCTCCTGGACTTTGGGCAGAGATTTTAAGCCTGAGAGGTGACGCTCTTCTGACGGTGCTGTCTCAGGCAGTTTCGCGCGACCCGTGTCTCACCCCAAAAAAGGTCCACTGGGATGGCGGTGCAGGTGATGGTCCTGCCTTCCCCCAAGTGTCTGTTCGATGACCCTGTGCAGATCCGTGTGGTGGGTCTCCAGCCGCAGCAGGCGGTCACCCTTCGAGCCAGCCTGGTGGATGAGAGCGGGGAGCTTTTCCAAGCCCACGCTCACTACAGAGCTGGGAGCAGCGGAGAGCTCGACCTCAGCTGCTCCCCAGCCCTGGGGGGCAGCTACTTGGGAGTGGAGCCGATGGGACTGCTGTGGTCTCTGCAGTCTAAAACGCCCTATAAGCGGCTAGCAAAGAGGAATGTCCTGACCCCTTTCTGTGTGAACTTGGAAGTGTATGAGGGCCATGGGGATATGAGCCGCTTGCTGGGAAAATGCACCAACGAACGATGGTTTTTAGGAGAGGGGGTGAAGAGGATTTCAGTCAGAGAAGGTCGTCTGAAAGCAACCCTCTTCCTCCCTCCTGGTGAGTTTTAATTCCATTCTGGTATACCAGGTGTGACTTAAACAACATATTGTTCCCCGTGTTCCCTGGATGCACTCAGCAACTCAGAGCAAAGCCTCAGCTACTGATTCCCTCAGCCTGTGTTTGGTCCAGACACTTGGATCCTCGCAGCAGAGCAGGGAGGAGCAGGACCAGTCGGGTCAGTGGCTGAGAAGGGAGTGCGGTGGTGCAGGGAGGGTAGCAGTGGTAGCACAAGGTGTCTCCTGGTTCTTTTAGTTGAGGCAGGTCAGGACCTCTCCTGCAGTGAGAGCCCTGGCAAAAACTGTGTTTATTTCTTAGCTGTTCTGTTTAGCTGACAGGACAGAGAGGCCCCTGGGCTTTGGCAAAGCCGTGATACATGACAGCTCTGGCCGTGATGTGAAGAATGATGAGGCATGGTGGGAGCACTGGACTCGGGCTGCAGCCAGCCTAGGCTGCTCCAGCAGCTGCCACACATCTTCCTGCAGGATGTGGACTTGCCTCTCTGTCTCTCTCTTTAGCTAAGGAAAAGCCAAAGCAAAAAGGCTTTGCCTGGTTGAGCAGCTGGTCTGCAAGGGATATTTAGGAAGATGGGAGGCAAATGGGAAAATCAAGGTCTTAATTAAACTGGTACCATATTCCACAGCTTTCCTGAGTGCTGAGACTGGATCCTTGCAAAGCTGCTTTGAACCATGAAGTATTTCAGTTCCTTGAGCAGAACTTAAACATAGGTATCTTGTTTTAGTTAATAAACAGTTCCTTACAGCGGCTGAAACATCAAAGCTTGTATGGGAAGTCTGGCTATAAGAATGAGCAGAGCAGCATCAGGAAAGAAAGGTGCTATTGCTGCAGGAGGAGAGCCAAGAAGCCCAGGGGTAGTTACCTATATCATACTGGAGGCTGAACTGGCATAGGTCAGTGCTGGTGTTTGTGAGTATATTTCATAACTCAAGTGTTCCCTCCCTGGCAAACCCAGCACAAATCCTAAAGAAGTGCTGCTCATGCAATAATACTGTTTACTTATTGATCCCCAATGGCCTGAAAACATCTAGGCCAATGTCAGCAAAATTCATGATGGGAGAAGGATGTCCAACCTATGAATTCCTATAATGAGTTTCTAAGAGAGAGAAGAAATATCCAAATTCGTGTCCTTATGGTGATTTTGTGTGTGCCTGAGAACAACAGCCACTTCAAAAAGCTTCAGAGGATGGTGTTCTTCTGATATCTGTTGATGTGTGCTGGAAGGGCACCACTGAAATGACAACTGTAGGAACTTTTCTCTTTGCTGGTACACTTTGCTATACATTCCCCTTTGTTGCAGGACCTGGTCCGTTCCCTGGACTTATTGATTTGTATGGATCTGGAGGAGGTCTTGTTGAATACAGAGCAAGTCTCCTGGCTAGCAGAGGCTTTGTGACCCTGGCTGTTGCTTACATGGCCTTTGAAGATATCCCTACTACTCCAGAGGTTCTTGAACTGGACTATTTTGAGGAAGCTGTGAACTTTTTGCGGAAGCAGCAGCAGGTAAGAGACAAATTATGATGCTCTTCCTGTTGGAAACTATTTTGCAGTTTTCTAATTGGAATATGTATGTCACTGAATGCAACTAAGTTTCTGAAACGTTAGAAGGAAAAAACAGTGTCTGAAAGACAATGTGATCTTGAGAGATGGAAAAGCATGTGCTTCACCTCGAATTTTGCAAGTAGCTGAGTAGCTGGTTTTGCACAGCATCTTGTAACAGTCCATAACATGCTGGCAAATTTGTGAAAGATTAAATCAAAGCAGTTCCTGGACTAGAAGTACAAAACTGCTTAAGCAGTAAATCTTAGTTTTTCCCAACTTTTGCATCTTTCAAGATTTTAGAGGGGAAAACAACCCATTGATTATATTACAGGCTTTTGATTCTGTTTCACAAGAAGTGTCCTTCTAAAGTTTCAAAAGAGAATAACAGGAAACTTTAACAAAAGAATCCCTTACAGTTGTGGCACTGGAGGGTGTGACACATCTTAAGCTGAGGCTGTATTTGAAAAAGTGTGTAGGATGAAAAAGACACTTAATAGCAATGTATCATCATACTGAACTCAAAAGTGACCAAGAGATACTGAGTATCATTTCAAATTTTAATGGAATGCTGCTTAAAGAGGTATTAATTTCACAAAGTTATTTACTTTTAGAACATGGACACCAGGATTGTAGCCAGCGTGACAACAAAATTCAGCCTTGCTTATCTTCTTTCTCATAGAGCTCTGAAATGTCTAGAATTTGATAGGTAGGGTCACTGAGCCTCAGGTGTAATGAGCTTCTAAGGCAAAACAGAAAATAACAGGTCAGCTGTAGGAGAGTATTAAAAAATTGGGAAGAAAGAAATTTGATGTAAGTAAACCCATTAAAAAGTGGTTTGGAGATAGGAACAGTAAAAGATTCCATATTGAGACTGGGTGTCTAGCCAGGATGTGGAGGGAGCAAAGAGGCTTTGTTGTAGAGGTCACCAGGAAGGAAAAGTGTTACAGGAGGAGAGATGTTGACGAGCTGTGGAATTCATAGTCACTCTTGCGGAGCCTCAGCAAAGGAATAGATGAAGGATTGATATAACCTGAACAGAGAGAGCAAAGGGTCACTATATAGCTGGTCTTAGATGGATGAGTGAAAAAGCAGAACATTATGTCATCTCAGGAAATAAGGAGTAGTTAATAATGTTGTTTTCAAACTCTGTTTCAGGTGAAAGATACTGGGATTGGTGTTTTGGGCTTGTCTAAAGGAGCTGATCTAGCCCTTTCCATGGCCACATTTCTACCTGGCATCAAGGCAGCTGTCAGCATATCTGGAAGTTGTTTTAACTCCTTCATTCCACTGAAGGGGAATGGCTTCACTATTCCTCCCCACCCATATAATCTGGAGAGGATGAAAATCAGTGATGACTCTGGCCTAGTAGATTTTTCAGATGTCTTAGATGATCACAGGGACCCAGCAACTTGGGATTGTCGTATTCCAGTGGAGAGGTCCTTAGCCAAGTTCCTGTTCTTGTCTGGACTGGATGACACAAACTGGAAAAGTGACCTGTACTGCCAGGATGCTGTTCAGCGCCTTCAGCACTTCGGACGGGAAGTGGAGTTTTACTCCTACTCTGGAGCAGGGCACCTCTTGGAACCACCATACTTGCCTCTGTGCCGGGCTTCAATCCACAGAGTGCTTGGGATGTTTGTGTGTTGGGGAGGGCAGTGGAGGGAGCATGCTAAAGCCCAAGAAGATGCATGGCGCAGGATACAGGCCTTTTTCTGGCAGCATTTGATGGACTCAGACATCCCTAAGAGCAAGCTATAGTGGAAGTTGTCAAAGATGCTGACCAGGATTGATATTTCAGTACTCACTAAATCTTGGAAACTCATCAAAAGTTTCCTGGACTGCCTTTCTCTAAACCCCACTGTTGCATCACTGTTTATTTTCTTTCTCCTAGTAGTATTCCATTTTTTAGTTGAATTTTGGCTGACTTCTGGCCACAGCTTCACTGTATCTTGCACCGTCTGGTTTGCCTGTGTGCTGCAGTCTGACCTAGCATCCCATCATGTAGATTGCATTTTTAATGAGCAATTTTTACCCTCAATCTCCAACCATCTCCTTCCATAAGAGGGCATACTCTCACAGGAGGAGTTTTCCACTGAATTGTTTAGGAATATTATTTATGTAGGAAACTACCATTAAAAATAAGAATACTTTCCATCAGCAAATCAACAATGAGGTCATTGACGCTTTCATACAGTTGTTATATTGTCACATTCAGCAATCGGGTTCACGTAAAACCGTGTTGAAACTAGAGGATGAAGGGAGCTCACTGGTGACTCCATCGACAGTGATAGCACATGGGACTTCTTTGGTTTTTTGCTCTGGAATGAAAGCTTTGCTACCCAGTTAAAAGCCCTTTGTCATTTGGATGGCAACTGGCAAGAAAGACTGAAAAAGCTGATTTAGCTGAGCAGCTCTGTGCACATAACAGAAAATATTCCAGCCAATTCACTTTCACTGGGAATATTTTTAAAATGAAACTCAAATTTGAAACTTGTCTTCAGGAAACAGAAACTAGATGCAGACTAATATAAAATAACTGGAAATGTCTTAATTTCAGTAAAATGCTTCTGTCTGTTCTTGAGCATGTTCTTAAGTATTTTGCTGAAGACTTTGATATTTAATGTTTCTTCTGCTGAAGAGATTCTTTAGACAAATAGGGCTATAAGGCTAAGATCACATTTTTTTTCCAAGTTAATAGCAAAAATTCTACTAATTGCAGCCTGTTGAATCAGAGTGATTTATATAGTTTCTCCAGGCCTACTGAATACAGACAACATTATTCAAGAGCAATGTGAATTATTTAATTAAAGATAACAGACCTTTAGCTGCAAGAGATCCTCTGCCAAGCACAACTGATAAAACTAATAAAAATTGGATGGGAAAAGCTGTTCCTGTAATCTGTTTGTAATTGACAAGTGCTTCAGATAAAATAAAGCATCGAAGAACTACCTTGAACCAAAAGATCTCATCTTGGTTCTTACATAGTTATCCCTTGTTTAGCACTTGGCACTATATTTCTGTTAAGAGAATGAAAAAAGCTTGAGACGAGTCTCTTAAGAAACTGAGAATCTCCCCGTATGTAAACTGCTATGAACAAGTTTATTGCAAGGGAACGGTACATCTTGCAATGCTCTTTTGGGGCAGGATGATTTCTCTAGCTAATGTGGAATCAGGCAACAATGGAGAGCACTGATTTGCAAATGCAGTCTTAAAATTTCCCATCTTTGCTTTGGTACAACTTTTGGTCTCTTTTCATAGAAACGAGACTATCCCAAAAAGAAGAGAAGGGTGCAAAAAAGCATGTCCTTGAATGGAGCATCCCTAAACTCATCTTTAGCCTTCTTGCACAGAGCCCATGGAACTAAAATAATCTGGGTGAATGCGATCCAAGTTATATGAACCATATATAACTTATTGTTTTAATTAGGTGTCCCTGAAGCAGCCCAGAGACTGTTTGCACACTGTGAGACCTTTGGACATAGCTTATCCTTTCCACTGTGGGCTTTTTGTATCACAGTGCAGATGATTTACTTTACACAACTCCATCCTGCTGGCCAACCTACTCAGTAACCCTTCATGAAATGCTCCAGGGACTTCTTTTGTTTTGTTTTTTAAATTCAATACTCAGTCATTTCTCTAATACATTACCAGATAATTTGTTATCAAGCTGAGGGATAAGACCAACGTTTAAGGTCAAAATACAAATTGTAAAGATTTTTTTGGTATCAGTATTTTGATAAGAAATTTATAATTCTACCGTTTCAGAAAAAAACCCACACTATTCTCTAATTTTCAGTGCTCCATATACATTATTCAAATATGGAATCTGAGCCAAATGTAGTATTAAGCACAGAGGAAGTGATACTTTGTGTTCAGCAAGAAGGAAGATTAATAATTCCAATGAACTAATGCTCCTTGCAGCATTTACTGCAAAATATTCCTGCTATTTTACATTGTCCAGGAGAAAAACTAGAAACGCTAACAAAGTCTTAAAAAAATTGTCCAAGCAAAATTGACATTAAACCTAAAAATGTCTGGACCCTGACTCTAGATAGCATTTTAAAAAATAATTAAAGGAGTTACATTCTATTTATTTAGGATTATATCTTTTCAGTGACTTCAGCTGCTGAACTTTCAACATATTGCATTTAGACTGTAAATATTTGCTTGCATTAATGTCACTTCAATGAAAGGTGTGGTTTTATACTTTTCTTAACCGTTTTAAGAATACCTTGCTGCACAGAGGGACATTCATGCCTTTTTTCCTGGTTACCGATCTAACTGGGAAGTAATCCTGTGGGAAAAAAACCAAAACACGAAAGATTAAAATGTTCAGCTAGACCAAAGAAGGAAAGAGCAGGAATGAGCATGGTGTTATGAGGAGAAGCAGGGGTGAGTGATTCTGTGCCTTTCAGGATCAGTGTGACCTTATGCCAAGCCAAGGTAACTGAGAAACTAGCAGAGTTTTTAGTTATGTTTGTAATAACTAGTCCGCCTGATTCTAAATTGTGAACCATTTCTATATACAGTGAAGTGAGTGATTGGTGGCTCATTGTGTGCTGCCCCCATTTACAGTGGATCTGGTCCTGAAGGAGTAAGGTGTTCATCAGTGGAGAGAAGATTGTGAAATGTGAATGTCAGATAGGAGACAAGCTGGATAGACGTTTCAAGGGAGATGTCCTGCATAGGAACAGAGCATTTGCATAACTCTGCCTTCAACTAGAAGAGAAAGTTCAAATGCTCTGGTATCATTTTAATATGCTATGAATTCAGAAAGCTAGTTTTGAATCAATAAGCCTGTGCCATCTGCAAGACACTATCCCTGGATAGTGTCATTCTCAAATATCAAGCACTAACTCAAAATAAATTAATTTTTCTGGTCTAGGTGCTGGCTGCAAAGTGCTTTGGCTCCAGCCATTCTCCCATATCTGGGTCATTTCAGATAAGAGATACATGTTGTCTTGGTGCAGGAAGACTACTTTGATACCTAACAGCATCGCTACTGTTGTAGTGGGAGAGAAAGAAATTAGTAGTCTGTACTTTTTGGTGGAAATATCATATCCAGTTGCTGAAACAGCCCAGCAATTACTGCTTCAATGCCAGTCTACACACAACTCCCTGTAAAGCTGAGAGTTCCTAGGCTCTATTTAGACAGGGGCAACTATGTTCTTTCAAGCCTTCCAGGAATTTTGTTCTTGCTGTGGCCATCTTCCCTCATCTGAGGGTGTAATGTCTGCTTTCTCTTTTTTTCTCTGACAGTTTTGCTCCTGTGTCACTGACCATGACCCAGGTTATTCCAATTCCAGGGCACTTTGCATGATCTGCTGATGGAGGGAGAGCACCCTCAGCAATATGTAAGGCCAAGGCCAGAAGGGTATATGGTAACAGTGGCAATGAGGAGCCATGATGTTTTGACTGATGAAGACTAGGAATATTATGTTTCCGTTGAAAAATTGCCTCAAACTGGTCTTGTTTCTGGCAAGCTACCTTTAGGTAGGTCAGAAGGACAATTTTGCACTGAGAATGAGACCTGTTCAGTGTATTTATAGTGGCTAATGACTGTATGCAGCATGTGTTGTATGTGATCAGGAACACTGGAATCTGGACTGATTCTTTATGAGAATCTCCTATGCAGTTAGGTTGATATTACATTGATAAATACAGCCAGTGATTAAGCTGCATTAGTTTACAGTTCTGGACACTGAGCCTAAAATTTCAAGCATTAAGCAAGGGCTTAGAAGTCAGACATTGTGCAGAATTTGAGAATGACTCTATCAGCTGGACTTGGTGCATTTGACTGCTGAGCAGTCAGCAGTTCCCTAGTTCCCTGCCAGGCACTGAGTGTGATGTGAATACTGGTCTACTGTACCGGTCCTTTATGCTACTGTCAGAATATTGCTCATACTAGGTTTAAACCTGCAGACAGATAAAGTATATTTGTTGCTTGCATCAACTGATGTCCAGATGTTAGGAAGATAAATCGCTTGTTGATAGAATTGCCTTGTTAAGGGTTAGGGCTTGACATACTTCAAGGATCTCAGACCTAGGGGGAGGTTAACAAAGTTTGGGAAGAAGGATATACTACTACAGTGGACACAAAGAATGCAGAATTTACAGACCATGAGGACATTTGGCAAAACTCCCAAAATCTTCAGCATGTGGCTTTGGGCTGCTGCCAATGGACTGAAGAGAAAACATGCTGTTTTAGCTTTGGGGATGTTTCATGGTGTCCTCTCCTCCAATATAGGCAAATGCGTTTAAAAAAACATCTTTGTGATGTATCTGTCAAACTACATCTGGCTGCCACTTTATCGTGAATATTCATAGTGCTGTTTGTAGTATGGGGTAGGTAAATGCTAACTGTAAACCCATACAAAGCCTTTCATTATTCTGACAGCCTTCATTACCTTCCTGATTTATTTCTCTAGAAGGGATTATAACTCAGGAAGACAGCTACATGCTATCCTTCCCTGTAGTTCAGGATCAAGGTTGAAATCCTGGTTGCTGGTCCAGATTTATAAACAGACATATGAAACAGACTGTGCTGTGTGTATTGGTGGTTGATTATTGTGTCAGTGTTCAAGGCTTTAAATAAAAAAGGTCAGGTGCCCTAGAAACTTCTGCTGAATACCTGATCAGTTTTTATAGAATAATTTGTATGCTAGAAACATGGTGGCTGGTAAGCCAGCTGTTCTGGTAAAAACTACTTCATTCAGTTTGTGGGTTATCTTGCATCTGTAGGTAGAAAAAACAGTCAGACCCTCAGATACAATTCAACTAATTAGGCCACTGACACTAGCTGAGACACTTTTGAAAAAAAAAAAAAAAAGAAAAACGTATTCAAAAGAAGAAAGTGATACAGATTGGGTGTGCTCTATTCTACTAGCAGGAAATGTGCAGTGCAAAAACAATACATAGCAATCACTGTCTGCCACATGGACAAATTGGGAAACAACAAAGAAAAAGTTCTTCACAGTGAGAGTGGTTAAACTCTAGAAAATGTGCCCAAAGAGGTTGTGGAATCACTGTTGGTGAGCATTTTTGATGGAATAGAAGAAAAGAGCAACATCATGTAACTTTGGAAGTTAGTCCTGCTTTTATCAGATATTTGGATGCGATGAACTTGAGAGCCCTTTCCAATTTTGGGGGATTACAGGAAATGCTATATTCAGGTTTACTTTCCCCAGCGTGAAGTGCACTTGCCTGAAATAGAAAGGCCGGTTCATGAGGTGATGAACACATTTTGTTTATCCTTTAAAATGCTCTATACCACTCATGCATTTTATCCACAGTCAGAAGAACTGGAGAGACACCAGTTCTTACTTTTTTATTGCTCTGTTTCTTGTTCCCCACCGAAGATTTACAAATCTGGGAGAACCAGTTGGGAAGTGGCAGTGAGTGGATACGTATGTGCCACCCACAGCACATCTTCCATCAAAGCTGTCAGTGGTGGTATATGCATATTGCTTCAGAGCAAAGCCCAACCCTTGCTTGGAAGTGATGAGATATTTCTAACAGCTGCATGAAATTCTGCCATAGAGCAGTTCTAGCTGACTTTTACTGGAACAGAACAAAAAGATGATGCTTGAGAAAACTGTATGTGAGGCTGTCTTCTGACTGGTTCTTCCTTTTGTGTTCTGGCTTATTTATGGCCTTCTCATCAGACTGTTTATTATGGTACAAGTCTCCCTATAAATGACTCCCACTGTCTTATAGAAGAAATGGAAGGAGAAAGGGCAAAAAAGTATCCTACAGAATAATCTGTACATTTAATTTGTCAGGAGCATCCCCATAGAAGAGGGAAGTTAGTTATTTCAAAATTGTCAAGATTTTATCAGGGACAAGGGTTTTGCCTTTTAAATCAAAACTCACCATGAAAGTAATTTTGTTAAAATATGACCATAAAAAATTTGCTGGATGATAGTCGTGTCACAGCTCCTTGTATTCTCAATCTCAATTACTTCAGAGGTTTGTTCATAGTCGAAGGTCAATGCGTTCAGCCTGTAGTCACTGATTTATTGTGTCATATGCTCTCACAAGTGATTTTCAGTACTTCTTGTCAAACACATTTTATCATCATGTTTTAGCTCTGTGGAAGGAAATACTGTGCAGCTCAAACATGGCAGCTTTTTAGAAGTGATCCATTACAAGTCCTGTTGCCCACTACTGTCTTAAGTGTTTTTTTCTGATTTCTACTCTATAATGGGAAAAGATATAGAAATATTACACTCCAGTCCAGTATATGCAGTGGAATTTCAGTATATGAAATACCTAAAATCGAAATCACAACATAGCTATACAAATCATAAATCAACTAAAATAGAGGTATAAATTGTTCATTTATAAAGAAAAAATGAAAAAAACCCTGCATTTAAGGAGTATCAATTCTTAAATGTCTCCCCTTTGTAAAGGGAAGTATGTGAGTGTGTGTAAGAGGAGGGGTGTGGGTGGGCATAAAAATCTGTTGGAAAGGAGGGGGGAAAATGGAGAGTGGAAAGAAAAGGAAAAGCAAAAGAGTATGGGTCACTTACAACTTGAGATATTCTACGATTAAAAAAATCTGTTTAGTAATAAGTTGTATGGGTTTTTGTAGAATGTAGGGTCCCCAGCAGAAATCTCCTTCTGCCAGAAGACATACATATGCAAATGAAAGGACGATGGCTGAGGTCCTGACCAGATGGTTGGTCTCACTGTGCAGTGCCAGAGGTGAGTGGTAACCACTTCCAGTTCTGGGATTAGTAGAATAATCACAGTGCCGATTGCTCATCCACAAGGTGAATCCATTTTTCTCTGTAAGGTGATGTAATGAAGGTATCACCGACTAAACACAGAACATAGAATCTACTTACAAACAAGTCACTGAGATCTGCATTTTTTACGCTTTCTTCACTAAGAGGTTTTGCAATCAGTTATTACTAGTACAGTTATTGTCTTGGGATGTTGACAGCTAATGCTTTTATGAAGAGGTAATAACTGCTTTCCATCACTGAAACTCTTGTCAGATAGAAATTTTCCCATGGTCTCTTACTTTGAGGTCATTGTAGAAAACAAGGGAAAGTCCTACTTATTTTGTCTCTTGTTGATTCCACTCAGATTTTTCAGTCACTCATCAGAGGTGAAAATAATGTAGTCCTTTGTTCTCTAATTGCTAGAGAGTATTGAGATAAGAAAAGTTTTAAAAAATAGTTTTTTTTTCCCACTGGGGAAAAGATTAGCACTTAGTTGCATAACTCCATTTTATCCTCCTAAAGACTGGTGCTAAGAGTCTCCCTGAAATAGCCATTAAACCAAAAGCTGGGGTTTAGAAGGCTGAAACTCATGCCTTGGCTGTGCCTGATGAGGTTCTCTCAGTTCCCAAATTAGTATTCTAATGACTAGGTTGTTTACTGGGACATGAGTGCTTATGATGGGTTCAGAAGAAAGTTTTGGGTTTTATTTCACATTAGACCAATAGGTTTTGAAATCTTGTTATTTTTTCATAGGTGACAGCTCTCTTTTATGAAGTTACCTTATACATCATATAATGTGAGGTGAGTCATTTGGTAATTTAGCTTCCTTAGGGTATATGGCTTATGGTTTGCCTTGTCTCTGTCCCTTGATTCATCTGGAATACTATGCCCAAAAGAGGAGGGAGGAAGACCAGAGATAAACATTAACTTTTTTTCTCTTTTTTTAAGTTGTCTCTGATTATGAAAGTACTTTTTGCATAGCCTAAAAACACTGTCCACTAGCAAAAGAACTGCTTGGAGTTCTCTTCCGAGGGCTGAGTCAAAGCTTTGAACCTGGAAGGTGAAGCCTAGTAGTTTCTAAGCAGCAAGGGTTCAGTCATATTTAGACCAGACCTGTCTTCTCTCTCTGCTTCATTTGCTGCTTGTTCCATTTGCTTGTGGGTATTTTTATCATTTGTGTCTGCCTTGTTAGCTATGTAACAGACACCACACAGAGGATGATAATGGGCTGCAGCAGGGAATACTTTTCAATTCACAAATTTAAGAGAAATAGCTTGAATTTTTAAGAACATTTGAATTTTTAAATAATTTGCTCTCTCTCTTTTGCATATGCAGGTTTTCCCTTCCACTGGGTTGAGAGGAGAGTAGAATTTTTTAAGACAGTAAGTTATTATTCTTCTTCATTCCTTTCAGTTCTCCACATAAGGTTTTTTGGCCTTCCAGTGCTTCTGCTTTGTTTTTCTTCTCCCTACAGAAGAACATAATTTTGCATTATCAATGAACATCAGACCAGACCTCTTGTGCATGCAATTTCCTGGCCTCGGGAAGGAGTCCAAAGGTTATGAGGTTAGTCTCATAAATCCTATGTGTGCTATGCAGCTCTTCCAGCTCTTAGCCGTGTTTGGCAATAGGGTCATTTGTTCTAGCGCTCACGTGGTAAAACGTTTTTCCTCTATGACCTCTGAGCAAGCTGTTCAGGGTAAATCACTGTACATATAGTCATGACTTGACTAATGCCTGTGCACATCTCATCTGCTTTCCTGTTATTTTGTCTGTAAAATAGTGCAGAATTATCCTTATGGGGTGGTTTTCCTGGATGACAGAGCCTCCTGCTACGCATAAAAATAAGGAGTGATTTTTCTGAGGGTCACCACGTGTATAGATTCCAGAGTCAAGGAGATTCTAGATGGAATGTTTCTTAGTATAAGAAATACTGTTCTTCTGGAAATAAATTAGTGTTTGTGGACAGTTCCCCCTTGCTGTGGTCTCCGGTTCTCCAGTACGAGGTTCCATGTGGAGAAAATCAGGAATGCTTTTATTTCTGTAAGATTTTTCTTCATGTATTTTAGGTTTTAATTGAAGAGGTGTAAAGGCTGAAAGCATATTTAAGCATATTTTCAATATTTTCATACCTCTGCAAGTGATAGTATGTGGTCATGTGCCTCCAAACAGACTTTTCAACTAAAAAACAGAAAAAAAAAAAAAAAGGTCTGCTTTCTTGAATTCCATTAATTGTCTAAAAAACATTTCGCTCAAACAAGAGATGCTTTGATGAGCTTAGATGCCATGTTGTTGGCTTGGTTGGCAATTCTGCAACACCCTCAGCTCTGACTTCCTGCAGGTACCACAGAAACAGCAAGCACAGCATGTACCTACCTCCACTTTCAGGGAAGAGCCACAGAGCAAACCACTGTGTTCTGTGGTTACCCCCAGGCAACTGGAGTCCTGAGCTTCTGTGGTTTATTCCTCCCTGGTCCTTTGTTTTATTCTCCTCTCGTTTTGGTTTGTTTCACTCTGTTAGGTTTCCTGAATTCTGCTTTTCTTTCTTTCCTCACGTCTCTCATTTAGAAGAGTGCCAACTTTATTTTGAGCTCTCATTGCTGACAAAGTTTGCAAAACGAGTTCTTTATCTCTTATAATACAGATGATCAGATTATTTTGATAAAGTAGGTTGAAAGGAAAGGTATTAATTATCAAGTCTCAAGCTTTAGTCCAATTAGTAGGCTCTCAAACTATGACATACTTCACTTAGCCCTGGTGTGCACTTAATGCCTCTGTGGCTGTTGGGCTGCTGTTGCAACCTGAATCCATTCTGGGGGCAGACTGTATCAGAGAAGGAAGAGCCTAGTGTATTACTGCAATAGAGAGGAGATTATATATTAGGAAGATTTAAAGATTATATTTGCTTCAGGGCAGAAGGACTCACTCATTGCTTCTGGTAGGCCTTAAACCCTCCTTGTGAAATGAGGAAGCAATGGCAAACCCAGCACAAACTCTTGTTCCAGAAGTGGGTTTTATTTAAAAATAAAATATCTGTATCTCTGGAGCGGGGCTCTTAAGAATATGGAGATGTAAATGCTGCCATGGCAAGGGTTCCTGCAGGGACATACTACCTTTGTCATCAACATGTGCCTGTCCATTTCCATATGTGGATTAAGTCTGAGAGAGAGGGTATGTCCTTGCCAGCTATGGATTTTCAGTGTATCCTTGGCTTACTACATACCACAAAAAAGTGTGTCCCTGAACAGTGAATTCCTGAAGTCTGGATTTACAGAGGTTTTCCGACAGTAGAATACCTTTTTTTCTCATAAGTGAGTCTTCTACCCCTTTCAGAAGAAAGGAAGGATCTCTTTAGCAGTATCTGTCTGCTCTAAAGACTTCTTGTTTCAGCTCACCAGGTGGAGTCCTGAACACTGTCTCCATGATTTTGACCACGAGGTTAATATGAGACAAAATGCCACATATCCTGAAGGGCTTCCAATTGCTATGATGGAATTTTACACATCCACAAATATTAGATTGGTGCCGAAGTGGTCAGCATCTTATAGAAATGAATGCTGAGTGAATATAGACGTTCATTTTTCCTCTTTCCATATTCTAGAATCATGATTTACTGGATAAGTGTGAAGTCAGTAATAAATCAGTGGGGGTTTATGGTCTGGGGCTAGAGCATTTCTCTGTGCACATTGGGTGTAATAATTGTTTGCTACTCAAATTCCATTCTGGTTGTAGTCTGAAGGCTGCTCTGGAGTTTCACTTGTACGTTGCCTTTGGTTGACCTTTTGTGCAAGAACTCACTTCATCCAAACCCAGCAGAGAGAGATTGAACACTTTCTTCACTGTGATATAAGGTGGCTCACTTCATCCAAACCCAGCAGAGATTAAACACTTTCTTCACTGTGATATAAGGTGACTCTAAAAGAAAGATAAGGGGACAGGCAGGTATGTGCCGCTGAAAGAAATATTTGTTCCCTAGATAGTCATCAGGATGTACTTTTAGCTCTGGCAGACTTGATATCTGGTTGATGCTTCATATTTCATTATATCCATTGGTGCTTGCTAGAATGAAAGGGAAAAGAATGAACTCCATTCTTTCATTTGGCTATAGCGTGTTAAAGACAAGCTTTGATGTGAGATTATGCTGAGGAATACATTTGGTGCTGGTAGCTCAGTGTGCAGTGGCAGTGGAGCTGCAGATTGAGCTCTTGGGGGGTGGGAGCCCAAGGCAAGAGGCTGTGACTTGGCACCAACCACCCTTTGCACAACAAAAGGCACAGGAACCTGTGGCCCAGCCAGCTTGATCAGACACTCAGAGACAGCAGGAACCGAGGGCTCATCAGGAAGAGTTGAGACTTTCACAGGCTTGACTATGGGAGTATAAAAGCCCAGGATTTCCTCTGTTGGGGGTCCCTCCTTGGAGGCACCATCTCAAGCTGTTTCTCTGTTACTGTACCATGGATAAATTGTTCTAAGGAACCAGACGTGAAACTCTGCTAAGGGAAGCCTGGGGTTGAACCGTTAAGGAAACCTGGTCTGACTCTCAGAGTGGGGAGTCAAGGCTTGACATGAACCTGTCAGCTCACTGGAGCCATCCACTGTGAAGGAGCTTCAGTCCCAGAAGTTAAAATCTCTGGTGGTGCAAGTGTGACTGCCAGAATGGCTCCTGAATGGTCAGACAGGAAAGTTTCCTTAACAGATGATTTAATTCTTATACTGCTTGCTTACATGGTGTATTGTAAAGGAGATGTAGCAGGTAGTCAATAAAACTGGAATTCGCTTCCAGCTCTTTAGAGGGAATTAGAAAGTGGCTGTCCAGAGTAAAAAGCACTTACAGTTCTAGGAACAAGAGTATAGATGTCCTTTCTCGGCACTTTCAGAAGGCTCAGTTACCCCAGTTGGATCTCACACTGTAGGTCTAGAGTTTTGCAGCTGGTCCTTACACTTACGTTCTCCTGTATCTCAGTCACGTCAGCTGTGCAAGCTGCGGTGTCTTTCCTGCACTGTGCAGTGCTGTGTTGGATGGGTCACTACTTGACACTGTGCTGCAAGTTAGCACTCTACTCCTTATGTGACTACACCAAATATCTTCCCTGACAAATTGCTTTGCTCTCAGGAGTATTGGGAGGAAAGGATCTTGAGATGCCTTCCTGTCCTTTTAAGTGAAGGCCTCCTGTCATCACAGACTTGCTGAGGCACTGTAACCTTCACTGTAGACTTTACTCTAAATTTTTTTTCTTAGCTTTGCACATGGATTAGATGTAAATCTGCCCAGAGCTTCACACTGCCATAGCAGTAATAGTTATTATTATGGTTCTTGAAATAACACTGCTAAGTCTCACAGAGATGATTCAGCTGGCTGTGTATTTGCCTGAATGCTTTAGAAGAAAGTATAAAGTCAAAAGATTTGAGGTTCCAGTTATACAATAAATGCAATGCAATTGGCCTACTCAAAAACAGGGAACAGGCAAACGTAATCCTCAGTGGTTAGCTGGGAACTCTTATTCTGCCGTACCAATCCTGAAGAAAAAACAGTATGTCCTGGAAACTAATCAGAGTGTAAATGCAGAATGCTTTGGCTTGCTTGGGCAAACAAGGATTGTAGAGAAAATATGATTTGGTTGTATAATAGTGGTTGAGGCTTTGGTAGGGAAGAAAGACTGGTGATTTGTCTTCAGGTAGAAGTGTTGAGGGAACCTTTTAGCTATGAATGCCTTCTGTGGGCTCTGCCAAACAGTGTCTCCAAGCTCCGAGCAGCTGCCTTGTTAGCTCAGAGCTCTGCTTGTTCCTGTCATGTCTCTGCTCCTGCCTTGCACGTGCATTTCAGATTGTCATCATTTCAAGGTTTGATTCTATGTCTTCACTCCTAAAGTGCCTTGGGAGTAAACACTGATGGAAGCACGTATAGCTGATGTGTGAGGAAAGAACAAGGGGTTACTAGCAGAGGGGCTCCCAGCTTTTTTTTTTTTCCAGTGTGATTGCACCCATACTAAGCTTTTTCGAGGTATTACAAAGTGCTATGTAAGCAGTAACTGTGCAGCTGAAGTCTGTACTGTTTCAAGGGAACAGCATAACCTCTTTAACATACAGCTATTTTGTTTAATTTAACCAGATGGAACAACCCCATTTAGATTCAGAATACAGCCAATTGTAACACAGGTTTTTTCCAAGCATGAAAATTTCTACCATAAATGTACAAACTTTACATTTGGGAAGATGGAGAGGAAAATTTTATCATCAATGTGCAAATCTAGGTAATCATTTATAATCACTATCCTTCCCAGCTGTAAATAATATATCTTTTTCTTTCAGTATATACTGTAATTTCCAAATGCTAGCTAAGTGTGTGTTTTGCTTTCCAGAATGGATGATTCTCTTGGCAGCAGGGGGAAATTCTGTAGCCTTTGTTACAAAACCATAGTTCTTTAAACTGTGGGTTTCCCCCCTCTGCAGGGCTGCCTCTAGTCCCTACTCAGGACTGTCCATGGACAGCACTTCCATTAGCAGTGACAGTGACATTGAAGGGTGCAGCCTGTGAGTCACAAATAAGAAAGCTAAGGAGTGACAACATGGGTCTGAATATAGAAGAGGTCTCAGCTGCTCAAAGCGTCATCATTGCACCTGTGTACCAAGGAGACATGTACACTGCCCTCCCAGTCTAGGGGGAAAGCTTCTGCCACTGTAGCTTAGTAAAATCTACAGGTCACAAGATGGCAGCATAATCTCACTACTCAGGTTGACAGAATTTGAAGGATCAGACCGTTAATCTTCCTCAACTCAAACTTCTGTTTTGAGCAGTCAGAAAGTCTCGTGTCTAACGAGCTGGTGCTTCCTGGGCTCTCTAAACTACTATGTATATATGTGAAAGTGGGTGAAAAGCCTGAAATGATTACATAAGGCTTTCAAACTAACCTCCGATGCACTGTGATAGTATTGATATAAATTGCTCACCAAGCGTTCAATACTGAACAAAAAAATTACACCAGCACGTCAGTAAAAAAAGGCAACATTGATGGAACATTGACTTTACAAAGCCTGTGCAACTGGGAGTCATATTTGTTATATTTTCCCTTCCTTTCCAGTCTTGAGAACAAGATATTCTGAACCCTGCCTCAAAATACACACTTCTTACTGAACATTAATTTTTTTAATAGTACTAATGAGTGAATATATTCTCTGCGAAGAGCTGATTAATGTATTATTCTCTTTCTGTTGGATGGATATTTAAGTAATCCGTATTCAGTTTTCATCTGCCCGTCTGTCTGTCTCTGTGTCTCTCGTTCAAAGAGATCTGCCCATTCTTACTGTTTGAACGTGCAATACTTCATTTGGAAAAAAAGAGCTGTGCTAGGGAGAGATGATTCATCACATCAGTCACCATATTATATAATGCAGAGTGATAACAACTACTGTGAACATTTCCAGCAGCAATATTCCCACTTGTGACTTTAAATACTCACCTCAGAAATGCCTGTAAAAATAAACGGAGATATTTGCATGTACTTGTCAGAAAAACAAGTAATGAGAGCAAGGCAAAAATCTCTCAATTTTCAAAATTAATTGCAATTTTGTGTGATATTATTGCAGAATTAAACCATGGATTTTTAAGCTCGTTTTCCAGATACACTTTTTTGAGAGGAAGGCAGAATCCCAGATCTACCAGTTGCTCGCATCCACCAAGTGATTAGGATGTTTTGGCACACATGCAAACCGTGCTTATGGGTATTTACTTGCTAAACTTACAGGTGCGTTTCTAGTGGACATTTTTGCAAACATTGGACTTTTTAACACATGCTGAAATCCCAAGTGGTCACTGGCTTTGGTTTTGTGTACTTGTTCAGATGACCATAGTTGCATCTGAGCATGCCTAACAGAAATTTAATAAAGCAAAAGAAAAAGGAGAAAATTGTACTCTGCCCTTTCCACTGGCACGTCATTTCTGGCCTACGCAATTGGCCACATGGTGTCACTGTGTTTCAAGGAAGCAAAACTTCTAGCAGTAAAGCTTTTAGCAATTCCAAGTTTTCAAAGTATCCCAACCATGTGAAGTATCCCAACCATGAAGAAGACACTTCAGCAAAAATGACAGGGTCACGAAAGCTTCACAGTAGGAGTGTTTTAGGGAGATATTTTATAGAAAACATCCGTTTCTCAACTTCTCGTGTCTTCCTGGAACTCATCAGAAGTGTTTTTAGCCCAGAAGCACTTGTTCTCCACATGTCTGCATAAGGAAACATGCTTATATGGAAAGCTTTATCTTAAATTGTTGCAAGTTAGAAATTTAAAAATTCAGTGGTGCTTGACTCATCCTGCACTTTAGTCATAGTCCTTCTTTTCTTCTTCTGTCTTCGTATATCTGAATGTGCAGCAGCTTTTGATTTTGCTAAATGGAGGTAACTTGGCCTTATGGTGCTCAGAGTAATATACACTGCAGCTCCTGGGACCGACAAAATACTATTTGTTTAATCCCTGCTGGCTCTGAAGAATGCTTTGCAGAACACACCTGCTTGAGAGAGCTGTGCCAAAAGCTGATGTATTGTGTGTTTAAGGAGCCTTCTCATGAT